GTCAAAGCAAAGAAGGAATTTAACTTTTTTTTCCAAAAAAATAACATGCTTACACTGCCAGGTTCTGGCTCAGCGTTAAGGGTCTACAGACAAGAGGCCACTCTTGTTCTTATATTCAGCTCTTTGACAGTCAGGACTAACATGCGATGTATGGCTGTCATTTGTTTGCTTTGTAATATAGTTTTCCTGTCTTGGTCTGCATCATGACATTTATTCTTACCTAAGTTCACACAGGAATTCAAAAGAAACCTCCCAAATGAAAATTATACAACGTATAAACTTTTTTTTTTCTTTTAAACAAGCCCTTACTTTACGACTTATTTCAAAAATTTATAGTTTTTCTTAATGCAAGCCTAGCAGGCACTAATAAATAGCAGGAAATTCTCTGACAAAGTAAGTTTTAAATTTCTGAAACTAAGACAGAAGAGATCTGCCCCTATACCCTCCGAAGCACATACTACTTCTTCTTTGCTGAACTATCCAAGTACCACAACTATCCAAGCCAGGTGGATAATGAATTGTGACCAAAATTAAATAGCAAAGCAACTTGAAATATATTTTTCAACTACCTTATTTCTCATACCTGCAAAATCTTAATGGAAGTACACAAAAGCAGCTGTGTTCAACAGCTAGGAATTCAATGGTTTCTGCTTCTCAATTTTCAAATTTCTGCTTCAAACTAAGGTGGATGAGGTAGGATCTGTAATCAGGCTTACAAGTCATCAGCATTTCACAATACAAAGACTAATGCTATGAGACAAAATGTCTCAGTCAGAACATAAATGGTAAATACTTCGAAAACAAAATTTCCTTATTAGGGTGGCAGTAAAATTCAGGCAGTTGTCATCAGAGGAAAATGTAGCCCTGCAATTTCAGGATTAGAATATGAATTAGAACATTCTCTAGATGCCAAGCTATTAGCTCCTGGGTCAAACACAAAAAGGTCCTCTCTGTTCAAGATTTTTGTGCTCAAAAAAGTCTTAGCAGCATCCCCTTTCTGTTGTCCAACAAGGCTGGGTTCTGAAGACTTGTACGTACTTGTGCTGAAAAACAGCAGGATATAAGACTTTCTATATTAATCATGAGGATTAGAGATGGTAATTCCAGGCACGGCTAATAGATTTGGGAATGCAGAAACATTTCAAATTAGAACTGCACTCAAAAATCACTAAATAATGGTTTGATCTTTATAGGAGGCACAGAGTCCTTTCTTTAAGCTCACCACTAGTAGGTGTAAGTGGGTATCATCTCTGACTCTGAGAATGGAGAATAGGAAGGAAGATGAATAAAGAAATATGAAGCAAAGACTGAAAAATTGTGAAAAATCAGCCATATCATCATTATTTCCTCTTAATGCACACTTTCACACATGCACTCAGCCATTTATAATTGCTTTATCAATACGAGCTTTGCTGACTATTTTAAATCCAACCTATGCCTTAAAACAGGTAGCGTACGTGCTCAGAAGACAAATATTCACTTGAGCAGGAAAACATAAGACCAATTCAACAGAGCAGATCATACATTTTTAACCTCATAGCACGGCAGGAAAATGCTTTAAACCTGTAGCAAGTCAATGAGAAATCTTCCCTACTGGTAAGCACAATAGCAGCCATCCATTTCAATAGAAGTTTATCAGCAGTGAAACCTGACCGAGATAAATGACGAAGCTGTTGAGCCACAGCCTGCTTCTGCCTGCTGCAGGCTGCCAGATAAAATGGGAACAAAAGCTCCCTGCTGTACCCCCTACCAGTCTCCATTAACCCCTGCTGATGCTTTATTATCGTCTGGGGGCTCCAGAACAGCATAGCACAAATCAGTGTGTAAAAAATAAATAATAAAAGCTCATATGTGGCACAAACAAACCAGAAACATAGCTTGCAAGACACATTCATTTCGTTAGTGCTGCAATTAAATAATGGTTCTGATGAATTCCACATACTAGAAGAAAAAAGAAAAAAGCACAATGTATGTAAAATCATGTATGAAAAACTACTTAAAGGCAATAGAGTGCAAGTACACAAACATGTTTCTTCTGCTTTTACCCCCCTCCCAAATATATACAAACACATACAAGCAAAGCAGGGACCAGCCATATAATTCTGATGTCTTCATGTCCAATTCCAAGTTTCATCTTTTGATTCTGTCACAAATATCCTCTTTGTTGCACCTCCTCCTGTGTCCTTTCTCCAAATGTAAGTTTAATACATTTACTGAAGGTCAAAGCATCTTCTACTAAACTGATATAAAAAATGGATGGGAAGGGCAGGGAAAGTGTTACAAATCTGCTCAGGATTCATGGTTGCCATAGGAGAGAAAGGCAGTGGGAGGAAAAGGGAAGACTTGAAATGTTAGTAATATTCTAGCTATCATAGATTTAGATAGTGTCATCGCAGCCTGAGATTTCTGTAGCCTACCATAAGAAAGTCAATCTCTAATAAAAGATTACAGAGAGGCCACACAAGATCCTGGGGAAAATTCACTAATATTCATCAGTAAAGAAACTCACCACTACATTTGCATTACTTAGCACATTAGAGGAGGGGGGAAAAAACCCCCACAATCTACTTGAAACTGAACCATTCTCTTGGATGAACACCCCCTCTTCATCCCTACAGAGCCTTTCCATGCTTTACTAACTACAGAAACTATACTGAACTCACACTCTGATCTATCACTATCAGACATCATCGATTTTCAACCCATTTCTGTTCCTCTGAAGTGCAGTTAGCAAGCAGCAACATTACATCTAAGGAAGATGGTGAAGTTTTTCCTAAAGCTATTCCAACAAGCTAAAAAAATTAAGACTCCCTAAGCCTTCAAGGTGTAGAATGGCCTCAACACAGGAAAACAGGGAGGCTGAATGGGTTCCACCCATCCCAGTATCCTGTCTCGGAGAATAATGAAAACTTACACTTACAGAACAGCATCATCAAGCAAATACATAGTGAAACTTTTCAAGAAGCCTCTTTCATTCTACAGCAATTTACAGTTCAGTGATTTGTGGTTCAGAAGGCAATTCTATTTTCTAGTAAACTGCAGTGGAATTACCTTCCACAGACTTACCCAGTCTTCCCAGCAACACATGTAAGCTTTTAACATCCACAACCATTTCCACAACTTAACACACACTGTTTGAAGAACCATCTGCTTTTGTTTGTTCTGCACCCATCATCACCTGTCAGTATCATTTACGAACACCAACTTCTTTTATCAAAAAAGGTGTGTGTGTGTGTAAGTCCTGGATACCTTATCCATAATTTTCTTGATTTTATAGATATCTGTCACATACCCCTAAATTAACACCTTCTGCAATAAAAAAAATCCCAACCAAATCCACAGACAAAACTAAAATCCAAAAACACCAAAGAAAAATTGTGAGAGAATTTCTTCTCTGTTGCTTTAAAGGTTTCGGCCAGGCTTTTTCAAGATTTTCTGCACACTGAAAAAAGTTAACAAATGTTAACTTTTATAAAAAGCAGCAACAGTAAAATCATAACTAATACTCGGAGCCTCACAGGAAAAAAAATAAATAGGAATTCTGAAACCTTAAGATGATAAATCTTCTCTGATGCCCTGCATAGATGTTAGATGACAACCTGGAACAAAGTCATTCTGCTGGCTCACATTGGTTTAAAAACAATGAAATGGAAATAGTCCCGGCAGACTTTGTGCCAGATCAGATATCTTCCATCCTGCCACAGACATTGCAATGTTGGCATAAACATTATATCATGTGTTCTAGCCATTTGACAGAATTGCAGCAGTGAGCTCATGCCTCATCTAGATGAAAATTTCTATCACAAACTGATCCAGCACTGATCAGAATCATTATTAATGAATATGGAACTATGGTCTGAGTCAGACTGAAGCACGTGAAAAAATCTCAGTGTTTTGGCAAGCATGAGAGTGGAGAATGCCTAACTTTCTACAAAATACATTCAAGTCCAAGACAGTATCAGGGCTGAAGTGCTCAATCTGTTATAAATAAATCTCTAAGTATAGCTAAGACTCTTTTTCCCCTATTTTCTCAGAGTTGGTATAATGTTAGGTGTATTATAGACTATAAATCCTGTTTTCAGGACAAAGAAAACTGTGCTCCCCGAGGCTCTCCAAAGGAGTGCTTCAAAGCAACTCACCTTGCAGGACTGGAGTTACTTTGCCTCCGAAGGAGAACAAACAGTTATGTGACCTTTCAGCACAAGACTATGACTTCACATTGACTCATTTGAAGTTAAAAATAAACAAACAATTTCATAATGCTAGAGAAGATGTTGTGCCTAATGTGGTAAGTGGTGAAAATTATTTGCAATGGTAAGGATTCAGTAAGGAAAGCTATAATTCATCAAAAGAATGCTAAACCTACTAGGATATAGCAAAGGTAGATAGTGCTATTATGCACCAGGTAGTGGCCAAGTCTTTTGACAGTAAATTGAACAAATACTAAACAACACTACTTTCTCGAAGACTGTCAAAGAGATAATAAATGTCAAATTTGTTCCATCAACATTATATAACAAAATAAACACAACATTTTTAAATGTGGGAGAGAAGAAAAATGGCATTTTTGTTTTCAATTAAGAGTTCCAGCAGAACATACCAGAAAGAATGGAATATCTATTCCCTTGCTGGAACCCTTGTAAAACAAGGGAGATGCAAAATATAGAGGATTCTTGGGAGTACAAATAGTTTCACGTGAAATGACACTTATTTCTTTAAAATAGGTTCTACTTGTATCTAAGCTGAGCAGCACAAAGAATAAAAGATAAATTTTTTAACCTACAAACATTACTCTAATAATTTCCATACTACACACAAAAATGGAGGAAGAATAGCGAGTAACTTGCCCAAAGACAGAGAAGAAACTGAATTGCTTAAAGCACAAATCAACCATTATCCCATTGTCCTTTTGAGATACATTGGAATTTAAACACCTAGAAGAGTAGAGTAACTACATTCTATGACTCCATGGAATTAAAAATGCAGGTGCAATTACAAACCTCTATTTTGTCCGTTTTGGCATCTCCCCAGTATATTTTGCTTTCTGCATAATCCAGTGCTAGCCCATTTGGCCAGCCAAGCGAGGTATTCACCAACACAATTCTGTCTGAGCCATCTAATGCTGCCCTCTCAATCTTTGGGATTTCTCCCCAGTCCGTCCAGTACATGTACCTGCAAAGGAAACAAAATCTTAAGAATTCTTATTGATCTTTCAATATTCACATAGCTTCTTCTTGATTACCATTCTCCAAAACCACACTGCACACAGAAAAGTACATTTCTAAGCCAAATATATTTCCTTACCCACGTAAGGATGCCCAAACCATTCAGAAAGCATTGACATGTAAACATACTGTCCCTTTTCCCAAAACTCCTATACCAGTCTGCTCAGCAAGACCAGTGCTATTAGCTACAATAAACAGGTCAACACAGTCCCCCAAAATATTTTTAAGCAGAAGAATAAAACCTAAAGACACATAAGATGACTATCCAGGTAGTCAAGAGGAAGGAATAGTCCCTGTGCCTCAGAGCCTTAACTTTCAAAGAATCCCAGTATTTTCATTCTGACAACTCCGAAGTTTATAATTGCATCTGCATACAGGTAGACAGAGGTATCTTCTTTACATGACTAATATTTAAAAAAATGCTCACGAACAGCTGCTCACCCAACCATGGGATCCAGCACAATAGCTCTGGGTTCTTCCAGGTCTTCCGATATCAAGATTTTTCTCATGGTCCCATTAAGCCTTGTAACTTCAATACGATCTGTGCCAGTGTCAGTCCAGTACAGATTTCGGGCAACCCAGTCCACAGCAATGCCATCAGGATGTGCGATCTGTGCTGTGACAACAAACTGACTACCTGACCCATCGATGAATGAGCGGCGGATGGCCCTAACTTCATCATCTGTCCAATAGATGTATCCTTCCAGAGGATCAAAGTCAATGGCGATGGCATGACGGATGTCCTCCAGTGGCAAAACGATGTCTGTAAAATCTGGGGTGTCTAAGGAAATTCGCCTCAAATCTGTCCGGCGGGCTAGAAGCAACAGTTCAGTGGCACCTACATGAACAAAGCAAAACCACAACCATCTTACAAACACTGTGCAGTAATTCTGTAAATAGCGAACCTGATTCTGCACCATTTGTTACAAGCTAGTCTAGCTACCTTGAGTTCACAGGACCTAACCAAACTGATGGGCACCTGCAGAGAACTTCACACAAAGGCTTCAGATGTGAGGTTATTCTTCTGTGGAACAACTCAGATATGTTTATAGAGAAAATTCAGTGGTCATTTCCTTGTCCAAAATGTATTATGTTGGACATGTTTTCTTTCGATATCATTCCCTCCAAAGGTATTGAAATAGATTTGCAATGACTATGCTGCTATTTTATGCAAATCAACAGATGGCCTACAGGCTCTTAGATTAAAAAAATTATTATATAAATAATTTACTGACTGTTTGCTGTTGTTGGTATAGGGGACAACCATGACAAACAAGCTGCATGTTTCAACACCACCCTTAGAAGGGGCAAAACGTAACACAGAATGCCACAAGTGAATCTGCTTTGAGAAACTATCAGAGGAATCAGATTTGGGAACCGACAACTGTCCAGCAACCACACAAAGCAGAAGGGCTGTCAGCTTCACCCATAGTTGTTGAGAACAAGCTCACTGAAGACATGAAGATAAATAACAGTGTGCCTTATAAAATCATTCTGAACCGAAGCATACAAAAGCCTTGCTGGCTTTTAGGTCAAAAGTCAGAATCACAATAAATAACTGCAGAAAATGTTTTCACATAGGGCAACACAAGCTGTATAATGGTACATGTGCTGGGCATCTGATCAATGATAGATGTACTTATTGTCTATTCTAATTCATTTGCATTTCATTTTCTATTCAATGTCACTAGATTTCAGTGTAATAAAGGATAAACAACCACCACACTCCATTCCAATTAAATTGGCTGATCAGTTTGGAATCTCAGGGAGATAAGAGCAGCTCAGGCCTCAGGGAAGCCTGAGCTAAAGTGAAAAATGTGTGCATCCTAAATGCAAGAAAAGTCTGTTGCAATGGCTGTCCTCAAACAGTGAGGGGAAAAGATTTGGCAGGGACTGATGCAGGTGTGAGGACAGAAGGGAGGGGGAGAAAAAAGGGTGGAGGGAGGTTTAGGAAAATAAATGCATCAACACTGCAGTGAAAAAGAGGCATCACCAAGCCACATTCTGTCCATGTCTTGATCTTGAAGGTATAAACAAGGGCTAGAAGACTAAAAGAGCAACAACTAAAGCAAGAATTTTGGTGTCTAGTGCCAAATTTCTTTTTTAAAATGTCAGTAATTGTTGTTGGTGTTAGATGAAACCTCACTGCATGCCAAACTTTGGAGAGATGCCAAAGCAGCCATTGCTTCATTTACAGCAAGTGACACAGTAAAAACATCTAAGACACTTTCACAGTGCTGCAAGAAACAGCACCTTTCAACAACTGAAGTTGAGAGAGAATATTATTACAAGTGTTCCTGACTGGCAGTCCAGAAAGGATTAACATCAGTTTGGGGATCCTCTGTCCTAAACCACCTTGTGTTCAGAAACACATGTACACACTACTCAATTGTTCTTCTAGTGAATAACTCCTATGCATTAATTAATATCAGGAAGGGGGAACCTGTAATTACATGTCTATGCATATTTCAAAATAATGTAAAGCACATGACATAGTAAGTGGGAAACAGGCATGTTAGTAAGATTTTTTTAGAATCACGGAAGCAACTAACCTTGTCACAGCAGTCTATGTATACATCTGTATTTGTTGCTACTAAGTATATCAAACAACTCAGCATTAAGACTCAAGCATTCAGCTGCATTATGCTCATATAAAGTATTAATACATAAGTAATCCCAACTATTTATATTCAAGTAAGAAAGAAATCCCTAGTACTTTCTTACCAACTTCATAGTCATTTATCCAACTTACCTTTTAAAAACAACTATGAAAATCATATTACAACCCCCAAACAATAATTCCTTTTTAGCATTATCTAGTAAAACTAAGGTTGAGCAAATGCACTAACCTCAGATGTGTAAACAGTTAGTCTACCATGTACAGAAAAAGTGTAAGGTATAATTTAAAAATAATACATGTGCTTTAGCTGAAGCTGACAGTCATTTTGAAGAACCAATGCCAGGTCCCCAGAAAGACTCATACAGCCATTCTTTTGCTGAAACTCACCCTTAAAATTGACCAATTGGCCTTCCAATTCTTCTCAAAGACAACCCATTTCAACAGCTTCAGTATCTTGCTTTCGGGTTGCAACACTGTTGTTTAGTCAAATAACCCACTGTGTCTAAGCTTTACTTCAGCATCTGGAAATGACTGGCTTTCAGGTAACCCACACTGCACTCTGGATCTCTGAGCTAAGAATTTAATGGTCTTTATCTGGGGCCTTGGCTCATGTTCCACCTCCTACTCAAACACACACCCCCCCTACCCCTCCAATCAAGCAATAAAAAGTTTAAAGCTTACTTTAGAGCTATTACCCACCCATCTGCAAATCGACACTTCAGTTGCTTGCTTAGATCAACAGTCATTCTGTTCAGGAAAAAGAAACAGAGTAGAGAAGCATCTCACCTCAAGGTAGGCTGAGGCAAAGATCACTTTGAATGCCTTCAGGCTTGTCCTGACAATAGCAAAAATAACAAATGCAAGAGCTGGGCACATTTATGGACTGATCCCATTACTACCTTGACAGCAGTCAAGAAAAAAAGGCAGTCTCAAAACAAACAATTTGCACTTGTGGCAAACACCAGCTGTACAAAGTTTACCTGGCTAGGCACTGATCACCATTCAGTCAGAAGACTGCTTGAAGTCCTTGAGGTTGCCAGGACATAACAGAATCAATTGACTTTGTTCACTTCTATCCCAAAGACCAGTTTACAATGCAAAAGCTAAAAGGTGACAGCAGGATCTCCTGACTTCCTTCACTCTAACTCTCCAAGAAAAACCTTGCCTCTAATGATGAGCATGACAGAGAACATCACAGGTATGCAATCATATTTCAAAAACAAAAAGACTGAAAAGGCAGGAAAAGACAATGCAGGTTGCATGCTAGCATAACTTTTTTTTTTCTTTTTAATTTATCAGCACTTACTGGGAGACTGAAATGAGCCACGAACGTATAAAAGACCTCAAACCTCAACAGGCTTAAACGCTTTCCAAAAGGTGCTTCAAGGCTGCAACCAGAGCTCTGACTTCAGCAGGCATATGCAGACCTGAGACAGTTCTTCCTCTAGACACCTCTGACTGCACATAGAAGGATGAAGTGGCCTAGACTAACACACAGAGGACTCGGAGCTGAGTTTATTGCCCATACTGCTGTCTTCACTCTCACTACTGGCCACCTCTGCTGTACCCAGCAGAAGCATGCCTGTAGACACAAGCGCACCTTCAATATAGTGCTGCATTTGAGGGCACAGACCACAGGGTACGCCGGGGTGCGTGCTCATTGCCTTCAAACCACTGTGCGCAAAGTTGCCTCACAAACACTTGTGGGCAGAGTTAAGCTGTCCCATACTTAAGTCAGGTCCTTCTGCTTACCCCCTTGTGCTGCTCTCCCACACAATCCTAAGTGATCTTAGCAAAACATAACTTATTTAAAAAAAAAAAAAAAAAAAATCAACAAAACAACACACTCCCCCCACAACCTATTCAAACTGGAGACCAAGCCCAGGATTCTTTTTAGCAGTGCCTCAAGTGGTGGGGTACTCAGGATAGTTAGCCATTTTTCTAAAATCAAGTCCCTTACTTAAGATGTCTAAATATGGACATAAAAGCTTTACTCCAGACTCTTATTTTTGAGAGCTTTAGCCTACTTTTATTAAGCATTTTGAAAGCTGGGATTACAAGCTCACGGATGGTGCATTACATTAGTCCTGGAACTAATACTTTCCTCAAAAAGTCACTATTAAAAATCAAAATAATTTAAATCTATGTGCTAGCTGAAGTCAAGGGAAGGGGGAGAAAAGGGGAAACAGAGCGAGCATGCAGATACATGCAACAGCACAGATTTAAAGTCCAATGTCTAATGCCCTACTAACCTTTACAATTAATTACATCTTCTCAATCATATACAGGCCTCAGTCATTTGTAAGTTATTGAACTTTAAAACCATCAGTGGTTGCTGAGGTTAGTACAGCTACACAGACACACGCTCAGGAATTCATACATAAGAAGTGCTAGATCTAGGACATGTATAATGCATTCTCTGTATCTGGAAAATCAAGATTATTACTACATCCTCAATAGAATTACCACACATTTGACTAAAATATTTCTTTCCTAAATGTCTTTCCCCAGTTGTAAAGTCACTCTTGTCAGAGAATCCCAATACTACAATACAAACAAGATTTTTTCATCTAGACAAGCTCAAACTTAAAACTACAAAGGCAAAAGGACATGTACCTGGAATTAATCATATATTTTTTTCTTTCCTTTAAAAGAAATGAAAGACTTAGGGTGCCCAATTAGTATCTTGATCTGTGCAGTCAAATCAGGATTCTGGCTATTCTTGACAAAGGAAATTTCCCACTGAGCAGCCCTAAATAGCAAAAGGAAGTACAAATTTCTGATCACTGCCTCCAGGGCTACAGAGGAAATAGGTTGTGAGCGTCCATGGGCAAAATAAAGATTCTTTTCCTGGAAGAGAATGGAATGGCCAAAGCAAGGATAAAATGAAAGTCTGAAGCACTGCTTTTTCTTCATGAAGAAACTCACATTTCCTTGCTCAGCTGAAGTCACCATTGGTTTTCTCAGTATAACTCATATATCCATATTGGTAATTAACAAATGCGGGAAATAACTAAAATTTACTACAGGCAAAGAGAAGCTGAGCACATGGTCAGAGACATCTTTGAGCATTAATAAGAATGTAACTCAATGACAAACTCGTAAGACAAACCTAAATTTTCTTATAAAAATGACTATCAAACAGATAATTTAAACATAGCACTGCTGTTCTGAGTTCGGCAGTGCCTATAATACTGAAAAAGAGAAACCCCAATATGTCCTGCAGAAGAGGACAATAAATTACCAAGGATACAATGACAGTAGGTAAAAAGCTCCCTGGTGGAAGTGCCTGGGTGCTCAGACAGGACTCTTTGCTTTGGACATTACTGACCAAGGAATAGCTGGCCATGAAAACTGCTCATTCTCCTCTTTTTTCTTTGAGGGACAGGGATTTACAAGCTTTTACTTAGGCAATGGGGGAGCTAAGAGCTTGCTACAAGCCCACATCTCAGTTAACTAACTATTTTGTTTTGTAAGAGGAATAGAAATTAAAACATGAACAGCCAGCCAGTTTTAAAAATTATTAGAAAAATAACTAATTTTATTCCAAGTTATCACCCTTTCCTGAAACACTATGGAGCAGTGTTTCTAAATGGGGGTGGGCATGACATTCATAGCTCTCAGAAGAAATGATAAAACTCCTCTAAGGTGTGATGAAAAAACCTACAAAAAACAGAGAAACTAACAGTGGGAGAAAGGGGAGGGAAGAAAAAATTTCCTATAAACCAAGATTATTCAAAAATGCTAGGTTGTCATAGAAACTGCTCAGGGAGGGTCAGCCAGCCTCACCTTTGGCTGCAAGGATCATCTGTCAATGCCAAAGCACTGCAAACACCACAAACATGCACTCAGAATTCACCCATCAAAATCTTTCTCGTCCAGGCTGGTGCTCTCATCAGGGCAGCATGAAATGAAGTTCTCTCCTCAAAGAGGCTCCTTTCAGCATGAAACAATTTGGTTTAGGAACAGGTCTGATTTTAGTCTACTGCTAGAAAACAAAACTATCTTAAAGAACAGAAACTCTTAGCATCATTTTTCACCTTCCTTCACCTGTAAGTCACCCCTCCTTCCCCCAAAGTCATGTACATGTTCTAATTGCAAACAGAAATTTAATCACTCGGTGTTTCAATCTGTTGCGGCATAATAGATATATACGGAAACGATCCAAGGTAAAAATGTTCAGTTCTCAGGGTTCAGCTCTATTTTCACTGCAGGGATAGTAAACAGGCAAGTACAAAGGTGGGGGGGGGGGGGACAAGAAACCAGAACTGACCCCCCACACACACACACACCTGAAAGAGAAAATAAATTTACGTCCCCAGGGTAAGTGAGCAGCCTAAGAAAGGAAGTCAACACACAAACACGTACAGATTTACATCTCAAGATCTAGTCTGTGGCTAGTCTGGCTCTGTTTGATTACCATGCTCTTCTCCCTTCCCCAAAACAGTAATTGCAGTCTTTGCAACTACGAGAAGAAATTCCAGTGAATGTCTGCCTTGAAGAGCTCTGGAAAGTTGTAGGTCACTCGCAAAAGACCTAAGCCTGCACCTCATTTAAGTGAGGGGACCAAAAAGCCAGTCAAAAATATTTCATTATTTTGGGGTAAGCTCCTTTCTAAACGCTGAACCTGAAGCTCCTTTGTACTCCTACCAGAAGTTAATTTCAATGATCCTGTGCAGAGCTAAGTGAAACCAATGGATCTGATGCATAGTTTGAGTAGGTTGTTTCACATGGGTTATGTGCTAAGTAATTTCTATGTCCAAGCACCAGTGGTATGCAACAATCACTGAGCTAAACAAACACAGACTCAATTTTCTCCCCCCCCTCCCCCCCCATTTTTCTTCTTGAAAAGGAAGGGGCAGTGTTTTGGAAAGATGCAACAGCAGAATGGTGGTTAAAAACACAACATTATATTGACAAGCATAAGATAAATGTTCTTGTCTAAAGTTTTTTGCATACAGATGGACAATGTCCTGTAGTAAATCGGTTAACAAAATTTCTGATAAAACAGGACCTATATTTTGTGAGCCAAATAGACTTTACGGCTGACTGGAAACATAGAATTTGGCTTCCCATGTGTTCAGGGAGTGGGAGACTAGACCAACAAGTATAAATTCAGAGACATAAGGAATGGCTGAAAAAGTCAAGTGATGATTTTGAGTATCTCTGCATGAGAAGTTAAAGTCCTTTTAAATAAGGTTTTGGGGGGGGGTTTAATACATTCCTCTACTTGCCTTTGGTAATTGGATACAGTAGAAAGGCACCATTCAGCACTTCAGCACAGGGCAGTTAACCTTGCAGGCACTTCTGTGAAACAACAACCTGTTCCTTCGAACATGGCACGTGGGGAGCAAAAAGACACAGCCCCTCTTGCCCGAAGTCCCTGGCCCTTTTCCTATCAGCATGAAGTCAAAGGGAAGCAATTTCTCTCTCAATCTCCCCAGGGCTTGTTCCAGCTGTTGTCCCTAGTTCTTCAGCCTCTGCTGCCTTCCCTTTCTACCTCTGCTTGGCAAGTTACCAAACCTTCACCGCTCCCTGTGCCCCACATACACTTTTTCTGCAGCTCTGCTTTTGGAAACATGCCTGTATTGGATAACAACTGCTTTAGCTATCTGCTGCCACAAAGGAGTTTATCTGTGTGTATCAAGTATTTTTTTTAAAAAGCACATGAATTTGTGTCATATTCTGAATAAATAAGACCAACCCAGAGCAATATTATTAAAGCTTGTTCCTTGTACCGGCAGAAATGGAAGAAAAAGCATCTTGTGAATATATTGGTAAATTCTTACAAACAATCCTGCAAGGCTAATTTGGGAGCTGCTTTTGAGTTTTTCACATAAAAGCAGCAATTTATTTTAACAAGGCTCACACAGACACAAATAGCTACACAAAAATAATCAGCAGAGAGCATGAAATAGCACGAAATTAAAGGAAACACTGAACAGCAGCTGAAAAGCCTAGAAGAATTTTTTAAATATAAAAAGACAATGTAACAAAAAATATTTTTGTATATATTTTATTTAGTCTATTTACAGTAAGTTCTGCTGTATCTTTTGCTTCTTCCTCCATTTACCTTTGTCACAGAGAGATGATCTGCATAAAAGATGGTTATTTATGAGCAAGCTAATTATCTCCCAGTGTTTATTTTGATCCTGTTAATGTATTACAGCAACCACAGCACACCACCACAAGACCTATACTTAGAAAATGTAACAATTTAAAATCATATATGTTAGCCCACAATGAGACACTAAGAGCAGTTTTGGGTGAGCGCTTACAGCCCAAAGTCTCAATCACATCTTGAGTTTTAAGGCTGAAACACTTTCAACATCTCTAAAAACATGCCATTCTTTTCAGTTACTCTATACAGATATAGGTGCCTAACTTTATGCATGTGAACTGAAAGAGATTCCACATGTATGTGTGTATAATAAGTGGACATCAGATCTTAAAAAAAAAAAAATTGTGTTAATTGTATAATCCTATTAGCCAAATACTAATTAATGAAAAAGAATGTTAGAAACATTTGAGAGACAACAGAGGAGGTAGGTATCATTTTCTCTAAGAAAAGGGAACCACAGAGCCCCCAAAAAACTTGCAGGGAATTAGTGACAGAGACAGAATTGCAACGTAAATTTTGTAACTGGAGGCAACCTGCCTGTCAGCCATGAGACTCTTTTTTGAAAAGTAGAGGGCATTTTCCAATCACTTCTATCTGTACTGCAAAAACATGCATGATTTCACAATTTGCCACCCTATATAGTGAAGCTGGAAGAACCGCTTTCCCTCCAAAACCTACTTTGTGCTTAATCTAAAAGGATTTTTAAAAACAAAGCCTACCATCTTTGCAGGTCTTTCCATTCTCAAGAAGTTTCACACCAGTGGGACATGCACACTGATAAGAGGGCTTGGTAGGAGACATCAAACACAAGTGGGAGCAGCCACCATTATTAATTCCACATGGGTTTGTAGCTGTTAAACATAAATCACACAGATTAATGCTTCTGATAATGAATGACCTCATCTCATGTGTTAAGACACATACAGCATTTGAGTAGTAGAATCGGTGGCAGCAACACAGATTAAAGAGGGAAATGATAAACACAGAACAAGGAAAAATTAATTCCAAGTGTTGAGTAGTGGGGTATTTATGGTACCAAAATATATGGATGTTGAACGTTTCCTTTCTTGGGAAAGTAGCACTTAGCTCTAAACAAGAGCCTTCTTTCAGCTCTGCTCTGCTCTTCTCATTTTCACAAACTATTCAACACGTCAGTGTTGAACGTATAGTAGGTTGTATATATAAAAACAAAATGCAAACACAGTAAATTAACACAATGGTTAAGACAGTGGTTATTACACAGAGCTAGTCTTGCTTAATATCATCTGCCAAATTAATACTACTTTCCATTCAGGAACTACTACTTGGAAAAAATAAAAATACCACGTTGCCTAAAGTTATGGCACATGAAACAGAAAAAGGAATATGACAACAGGATAAATGTGGCAGGCAGAAAAAAAAGCAAGAGATGTTTTTTTCCACTTAAAAAAAAAAACAATGTAGAGAATATTTGGTTTCTCTTTGGGTCTTTTCCCATTGGAAAAATTGCACCATGACGCGAGTGAAGCCACCCACTGCCATACAGAAAGACTAATTAAGATTTTTGCAAATCAGTTCCAACTTGCAGTTAAAAAGAGAAAGCAAGACAGCTTACCATTTGGCTGCCTCTTTTGGCTGAAAGCATGGATATCCATGGGAGAGAAGATGTTGGAATGTATTTCACGCAGGTCCTCCCCGGAGTACTTGCTGCAGGCCAAGATCGAATGCGTGTTCCAGTCAGTCCAGTACAACGTGTCCCCAAACAGCGTCAAAGCAAAAGGATGTGGAAGGGAGCCTTTAACCACTGCTTGCCTAATAGAGTACAGGGAAGAAAATGGATGCTCAAACGCAAGTCATGCTGTGGTTTTGCCTGGACATAGGTTTTGTGAAAAGAAGTTTTACAGTGTAAGTACTGTTGATCACAACTTTCCATTTATTTATAAGGAACAAATAGAGTGCACCCACTGTGGGGAATGGTACGGGGGAACGACACAGGAGTCCTATTTCCAGGCTGTCTACTGATGCTGAGATGGCCAAGAAATGCCAACTGAAATCCTTACACAGGTTTGTGGCTATTTCTTAGCACCTTTTTAACACTGAATACCTGTGGGGCTGTATGTCACCGTGCGCAAGTGGGGAGAATGCCAGATGACTTTATGCAAGTCTGACTGCTACCTGCTGATACACGATGTCCATCCTTTTCAGCCTCAGCAGATTTCAAACTGAGACAGCATTTGGTCAATTAACAGTCCATCCATCTCGTCCAGTTTTGCTCTTTCCAACCATCAGAAAAATACTCTAATGGCAAATAGTTTCACTATAAAGAAATCTTTAAAGTTACTTTTCATTATTCATTATTATGATAATTATTAAGCTATTGTTTTTATTATAAGCAGTGCCATGAAACAGAGTTGTACTGATCTTCTGCCATGGTAATGGTATCATTTCTGAGCAAACTGGGTCACCGCCTGTCTCCAGGTTCATAAACAAAATTAAAGAGTATACCCATATATTTTATGTATATATACAAACACATGCTCATTAGCCATCACAAAAATGCAGCACAAACATTACTGAAGACAGTTTTTCCAGGTTCTTGTGATGCAGAAACTAATTATCTGTACCCAGGTTCCTCAGAACTGGAATTAAGTAGCTCAATTCTTATGGTTATTTTATTCAGAATCATAAAAAACCCCCAACACCTTAGGATGGAAAGGACCCTGGAGGTCATCTGGACCAACACCCCGCTCAAAGCAGGGCCGCACAAGTATCATTTACACAAGCTCTTCTTTCCACCTCCTTTCTTCCTAACTGCGTGGGTACACATCCGTTCCCATGTACACGAGCTCCCACTGAACAGTGGGCATCCCCGTCCCTCTCCGGGACTGAAAGCATAAGGGATTGACACACAGCTCCTACTACTCCTTCATATATAGGGTACGCTATGATGATCAGCCTCCCAATTTTCTTCTTACAGAGAAGAGAGTCATTATCTGTATATTTACTGAGAAAACACCCCCGCACTGTATGCATCACTTTTGCAAAGAAGTCTTTAACTGAAGTGGTTTAGTAGAGGACAAAAACACTCTTATTTTCCAAATATTTTCTGTTAAAATATAACAGAAGAGTATATTAAAGCAAGAAACTTGAAGGTGTCTTCTGCCAATGATTCTGAGTACAAAGAGACTGCAGTCATTACCGCTCTTTCACCTTAGCTTCTGGAAAAAGATGCATTATCTTTAAAGCTTCTATTTTTTTCTGCTCCCAAGAAAAACACATACATTCCCTTACTTGTCACTCCAGTGTTCCAATTCTACACCAAATAATTTTTTCTATTTCTTTATATTTTGCACTCAAAAGTAGGACATATTATCTTTTCTTTCTTATCTCTGTCTGGAGTCAGGTATATATTTGCTTCTAATTAAATGCACCAACTAAGCATCTTACAAAAGACTATTGTAATATAATTTACAGCTGAAACCTACCAGCCAAACAGTGAAGCCAAGAATAAAGACATTCTAATTCTGTAAACATTTTTACCAACCGCACCCCCAAACCCTAAATGCTTTCAGATTTGAATAATTTTAGTTTATAGCAGGTTTGGAGACTATCTAAGTCTTTATGACATTTGTCATACGGGACAGAAGCAATAAAAGCTCTCACAAATACCAAACATGCACCAAAGACAGCATTCCCATGCACACAAGAGAAGCAACATTTTTATGAAGCATTCTGACTGCCTTGCTATTTTCTTAATAAAAAAAAAAAAAATCAGAGGAATTTTAAATGTGATTAGTACCCACCATTCCTAGAGGGAATAAATCTTTGAGTACAATAGATACTGTTAGATATGCCCAACTTTTGGACAACCATCTATTCATATGACAATGTGTAAGGTGAACTGCGATCCTTATTTAAACCAGCCCTTATCTGGAGAGATGCAGGAGTACTTCATTCCGCTGCACTGTCAGCCACAGCCTTGAAGCGATTACTCTTAAACCTGTGTAATTTTTCTCAGCAGATATAAGGTACTGTCACATGAAAATGGCTTTGGGCCCAAACACGACAGCACGTATTTCTTGCATCTCATTAAGATGAGTATTATCAGTAACACATGCTCCATATCCCTTGTTTCCAGCAAGCCATTACAAGGTGATAGCTCACTTCCAATCAGCAAAACCAGCAGGGCTTTTTTTCCCCTCAAAAAACGCTCCACAGGCTGCACCATCAGCCTCGCTGAACGGCAGCCATATGATGTGTCATCACAGAAGCAGTAGCTAAGTTGTGCTAAATGAGCCTCCCTAGCTCAGCACCTCCGCAGCCCAATGAAGAAATGTCCTTCTGATGGCTGCTGTTGAAGCAGTAATGCCTTAGCGTGATCTGCATTAGGAACTGCAGAGCTCTGGTTTTGGCGGGTGAGAAGAGGGGTTCCGACTTCAGCCTTGATTGATTATTTATTAAATACACCCAGGCGAATAAAGGTGACCAGAACATCACCCATAGCACTCAACGGCTGCGCACGGTTGACAGGAGTGGGAGCTTCCTACCTACAGGGTGTTCCACAAGCTCCCGTGCAGGGTCAGGGAGCAGCCAGGTCTCCACGTTTCTGGCCTCGCTAAGAAAGCCACCCACCTGGGTACCAGGTATGGTGCTGCAGGTGTAATTGGACTGACACAACCTGACAGCTCTTTGGTGGCAACTACCTTCACCCTCTATGTTATCAGCCCAGGCTTGACTGGAACAAGCGATACAACAGCAAAAAGCACTACATCCTATTATCCTTCATTAAGCTCTTAAGTTCCTTCAAACTGCTGTACTCCTATCATTAGTCTCATTAAAAAGAGACACCAGAGATGATGAGAAAGTGAGAGATGAGAATAAAGAGTAATGTTATTTGTTCAGGAGGTATCTCTAGGGCTTCGGCAACATGCAAATTGGCTACATATTAGAAGGCGCTAAGCACACGCTAACTTTAATAATCTTCCCTGTGCTAGGCATATAATCATACAAATTTGCCTTAAAAATCTTGATGGCAATTGACATTTAAAATGTCACAATCTCTACTCTGTTTAGTTGGCTGGGAAAGAAATGCAGAAGGGGACAGCAGAGAAGGAAGGTGGGAAGAGAAAGAGAGAAAACAAGCAGTTTCCACAGAAATTAAATTCCATCTGTGCCGTGTATCGTGATTTCCTAAATACAGCTATTTATAGTATCATCATGGTTATCAGAGATGCAATTACAATAAAAACTTATTAAAGCAAAGAGTTTTCTACTGCCTGAAGAAGACGTAGATCCAATTGAAATACATTCACCTTTGTTCTATTCTTATTCTGCCTGTGAAATACTTTGCAAAGATAAAGAAAAAGGAACCAAATAATAAACAAGTTAAAGCAGACATTACAAAAGGGGCTACTGAACTCTGAAATGGAATACATACATGAAAATTCATAGACAATCTATCCAGTTTTATACTAACAATGACAAAAAAAGCTCTTGCTTCAGGATAATATGCATTTCAGACAAAGACTAAACTCTCTTGAAATAAAAATTAACAGTAAAATGACCAAAATCCTTTATCACAACTAGGATTTCCTCAGTCTGCCTTTATTTCTTTCAGCTTATACTAGCACATTCAAATCCAAAACTAGATTATAGATATGAAATTTAAGAATTCTTCACACAAAAAATAAGCTACCAAAAATCAAGGTAATATGAATTTAAAATATTATCATAATTTGTTTTTTCCCCTAGAATTTTAACATAATATTTTATATCCAAGCATAATAGCATTTCTCCATAAAAATAAACTTTCTATTAACCAAATTCCTTCTATTCTGGCTGCATTACAGTTTTCTAGTTTCAAAACCTGATCAGATCGCCTGCAGAAAAACCAGGGTACTTTAGACCTCCTGACCTGTACAATCTCAATCTGCGCTCAACCTCCATATAAAAATGTAAAGACCCATCTTCTGAACCTTGCTTTTAGTGCTCATCATGTTAACAAAAGCATATAAAAAGACAGGCTTGCATGAATCAAATTACAATATTTTACACAAAATGTTTCCCTCCATCTGCAGATTACTTAATGCCTGAGCATTCAGAGAACCACAAGAATTGCACAGCTTTGCCTTGTGACAATTTGGGCAAAGCACTTACAGCACGAATGCCACAGACCATCAGATGAAGCAGGATGAAAGACCAACAGACAACTGTGTAACACCACACCACACCAAAGATGCCACAAGGAGGGCAGGGAGCTCTGTTTCCCTCAGCAGCTTACAAGATTTCCTCTCCTGCCAACCTAACAAAAACATTTGCAAAGCAAACTTGGAAAACTAAGTTGCATTTTTACCATGACTTCTTGTTCAAATATTCCTATCGGCATACAAGCCTGGTTCTAATTACCTGAGAAAGTAAACAGGAAATATGGGATATAATACAGTCTTTTAAAACCAAAACATTTTCTCTTTTGCCACTTCCTTAAGCCATGATTGCCATGTGTCTCCAGAAAGTACGTATAACAAATAACAGGTCTAGCAATGACATTTCAAATCCCACCTTCAATGAAAGCCTGAAAAAGTCAATCGGAAGTAAAACCGTGGTTGAGAAACAAAGTCATTCTGCAGGTCAACTTTCAGGCAAACACCATCATGACAGGCAGTGTAGGTGAAAGAGGGGAGGAGACTGGGAAGCCAGCAGGAGATGACAGAGGTTACAAGGAAGGTGCACCAGTAGATCCACTGACTGCGGAGCGGTCTATGTGCTTCCTAACCTGAAGCTGCTTGTCCTTGGCTTTCAGCAGGGCTGTGATC